GGGAAGTGGAGAATGTGTGTCGGATTTCACTGATACTGAACAAAGCATGCCCCAAAGGATTCATTCCCACTACCCCACATCGACCAATTGATTGACGCCACTGCAGGACATGAACTACTGAGCTTCCTAGACACCTACTCCGGCTACAATCAAATCATGATGGCCGAGGAGGACCAAGAGAAGACAACTTTCATCACCCACCAAGGGACTTACTGCTACAAGGTAATGCCCTTCGGGCTCAAAAATGCAGGGGCTACGTACCAGAGACTGGTCACCAAAATGTTCAAAGAGCAGCTCGGTAAGACTATGGAAGTCTATATCGACGACATGCTGGTAAAGTCGACAAGAAAAGAGGACCACATCGACCACCTGAAAGAAACCTTCGAGATATTGAGAAGATACGGGATGAAACTGAACCCCGAGAAATGCGCCTTCGGCGTGGCATCAGGAAAATTCTTAGGGTTTCTCGTATCACAACGAGGTATCGAAGTCAATCCAGATCAGATCAAGGCGATAGACACAATACCCGAGATACTGAACAGCAAAAAGCAGGTGCAAAAGTTGACGGGGCGAATAGCCGCCTTGTCTAGGTTCATCTCACGGTCCTCCGACAGATGCCATAAGTTTTTCAATGTGCTAAGAAAGGACAAAGGGTTACAGTGGAATGAGGAATGCGTCGAGGCCCTAAGGAAATTGAAAGCGTACCTATCTTCACCGCCACTGCTAGCCAAAGCAAATCCAGGCGAGCCACTGCTGGTATATTTGGCCGTATTCGAGGTCGCCGTCAGCGCAGTCCTAGTTCGTGAAAATGAAGGTACACAATCTCCTATTTACTATATTAGCAAAACCTTAGTAGACGCCGAAACACGGTATCCACACCTTGAAAAATTAGCTTTGGCATTGGTCGTAGCTTTACGGAAGCTCCGACCCTATTTCCAATGCCACCCCATAAAGGTAGTGACGACCTTCCCCTTGAGAAGTATCCTACACAAGCCTGAGTTATCAGGCAGACTCGCCCGATGGGCCATAGAGCTCAGTGAGCACGATATCTCATATCATCCAAGAAACGAGTTCGACGAGTGCCTCTTCGAACAAGTTCCGAGAGCACAGAACGTTGAGGCAGACGGCTTAGCAAAATTAGCCGCAGCCACTAAAACTTCAACAAAGAAAGCGTGGTCACCCTCCTCCATTCAGCCATTGATCACACTGAGGTACTCTCTTTAAATTTGACTTGGGACTGGCGCAACCAATTTGTATCCTATCTGCAGGATGGAACACTCCCCCTCGACAAAAAAGAAGCCAAGAAGCTCCACGTACAGGCCGCCCGGTATTGCCTGATAAACCACGAGCTCTACAAAAGGACGTTTGGCGGACCCCTGGCCAAGTGTCTAGGGCCGCAACAAACGCGGCCAGTGCTCGAAGAGGTACATGAAGGTCATTGCGGTGCCCATACGGGCAACCGCGCCCTCGTGCGCTGCATAATACGAGCCGGCTATTATTGGCCCACTATGAAGAAAGACGCAGCGGAATATGTTCGCCGATGCGAACAATGCCAAAAGTATGCCCCCATGATACACCAACCAGGAGAACCACTTCACTCGGTCACTTCCCCATGGCCCTTCATCAAATGGGGAATGGACATAGTCGGTCCCCTACCAACGGGACGAGGAAAGGTACGATTTCTATTAGTTTTAACTGACTATTTTTCCAAGTGGGTTGAAGCAGGAGCGTACGCCCAAATACGCGAACAAGAAGTGATCGCCTTCATATGGAAAAATATTATATGCCGCTTCGGCATCCCCAAAGAAATCAGTTGTGACAACGGACGACAGTTCGTCGGTCAAAAAACGACCGAATTCTTCGAGAAATGGCGCATCAAGAGGATACTTTCCACGCCATATCACCCTGCCGCCAACGGCCAAGCGGAATCCTCCAACAAAAAATTAAACATACTAAAGAAGAAACTCGAGGACGCCAAAGGGCTATGGCCCGAGCTGCTACCC